CTACCGGTCAGATGTAAGACGAAACAAGCATATTAAGTCATATATATAATGGTCAAGAATACTATGGTAAGTCATGTATATAGGAATTAGAATGAATTAGAATGAGAGAGTGATATTGTAATGAGTTGTTTGTTTGTTCAGTGACGGATTTCCCCAAGCAATGTAAAGGGCTTCTTTTATTTAATATGTTGATAGGTATTGTGGGCAGAATCAAGAATAGTAAAACAGTCTGAATTAGATGTGTTTTGACATTTAACAGAGTTTTGAGGATGTTGAAATATGTGTGATGTCCAGAACTAAATGCTTCCTACAGTAATCCATGTTTCTAAGTGTCTATTGGTCTCGCCAATATACACAGAGTTACACCCCGCGGAAGTAAGTTTGTAGACAACACGGGCTCAGAGATTAGTTGGGACATAGTCTTTTACATTTAAAAAATTTGATAATTTATATGACTTTGCTTTCAAACATATAAGTTGTCAAATTTTATTAATATTAAAGTTGTTCTTATTGAAAATGTATGTATATCAATTTCTTACCTTAATTCAACAGTTGACCAGCAGAAATGAATTAATGAATACTTGTTGCTAACTTATGTTGGTGTTTTCTGATTATTTTATCAGTTGAAATGTTGATTCAATTTTGTATTATCAAGTGGTCAAAGTCCAAAGTGATTGGCACTAAAAATAAATCTGCAGTGACAAAAATAAATTAGTATAAAAGAAATATTAAAGTATTTTTTCATGAAATTAGCAGTCAAAAAGATAAAATGTTTACATTTTTTACTATCAAAATACAAAGACCTTGAATACCGTAAGACCTCAAATTGAAGCCCTGGGTTTTTTTTGTGTTTTTTTGCGAACTTTTGATGGGCTTCTTTTCGAGTTCTTTTGCAAAGTAAAGAGGGGTTTCCATGGAATTTTTATGGAGGGAATTATCCGTTTTATATTAGGTATGGGTATGGCCTAGCATTGCTTTTGAAGTATCATTCAGAATTTTGCGATATGCGCGAAAAAAAGGGGCTATACAGTATATTAATATTTCATTGATCAAGTCTTAATGGTTTCATACTTCACTGAATACAAGATGGTAATAGGAAGACAGAGCCTATTGTTTTTGGTACATGATTATACTAATTGCATAATTACTATTTCATTAATGAGGAAACTTACCATACCATTATCGTAATTTCTATTAAAAAAACTTTTAATTTAGTTGAAATTGTAATAATCTTCATGTTGTTGTCATTGTCATTAGTGTAGAAAATTGTTTTTTTATCACGGTAACTAAAGTTTGGTAAGATTGATTGGTTTCAAACTACTACTCATCAATTCTCAGAGAAAAATCACAATGTGGAGAGGCTATGCTTTTATATTTTTTATTTATATATTTTGTTGCATTCAATTGTATGCCATGAATTGTGGCATTGCCTATTGTTGTAAACCATAGAAACTGTACAGCTCCCAGATCTATATTTGCAGAAAGCCTATGAGTTGTTAATATCAAATGGACTTTGAATTACACTGTAACTGCCTAGTCTGTAATAAGCCATAGACTCATTCACACAGGGCTGTTGTTGCAGACATTATGGGCCTTACCCATATTTCAGATTGCACATAAACTTCATTATTTTTGTATTAGTAATAAACAAATGTATCAATGCATAGCATGCCTACAATAACTTAACTTCAAATATAAATAAACTTGATATACCTGGAAGGCTAAACTCACTTGAAACTAAATGACGTCCGCTCACTGCACTATGTACCAAAAATACGCCACTCCTTTAGTAATAGGAGTTCCCTTATCGCTCACAGATAAGTTTCTAAATACACATCGCTGTCAAACAAACTTTCAGTTTATATAATAGCTTTATTATATAAGAATTTTTTATGTAAATTTGACTATGTTTCTGAGTGCTTTCCTATTTTATATCTGTGTTATAGTGATTTTAATATATTTAAAACCATCTAAAATATTTTATTTTTTTTAATTTGATTCAATCCCTGCACTTTGATAAAACAAAATAAGTAACAGAGTAAAATAGGAAAACTGTAATTACAAAGTATAGAAGGAGGCCTATATAAATTTGATATACATTTAAACTTTGGCCTCCAGTTGTTTAAACAAGATTGTGAAGGCGAGACTTTTTTATACCTCATTTAAAACCCACTGCCTGCCAATAATGATGATTTCAATTTAAAATATTTTATATTTGGCCAATTAAAACCGCCACAAAATCTCCCAAAATAGGATATAAATATTTCTTCCTATTTATATAATTTTAAAGCATTTAACAAACCCATTACTACACTGTGTGCATTCAACAATAACTTTTTATTTTAATTTTTTTGGACGTTTTTGGAAAAACCATTTGCTAAATAAGAAAAAAAAAATTATATTTATTTTTTTCCCGCCCTTGTCCGACGATTTTTAAAAATAAGTTTGTGAAACAAGGCATAAAAAAAGCCTCACCTAATTATTACAGACATTTTGCGATACAATACGATACTCCTTTATTGTCATTTTAACAACATTGTAGAAATGAAATTTGTGTTGATTGATCCAATAGGCAAGAACACTAGTATGTGCAATTCAGAAATATAAAAAGTATGAATAAATAGATAATGAAAAAAAAAAATCATTTTTTGAGAGAATTTTTGTGGGGGTTTTGCAAGAAATGATTATTTTGTAATAATAATAATACTGTAATATATTTATATACTGTAGTGTAGTGGATCAGTAAATGGTGTCTTTGTTCAAATGAAGAGACTTTTGACAGATATTTGCCAATAAACAAACTTAATGCTTTGTATTCTGTCTTTCTTTCTGAAGGCTTGATTGCAATCTGGAACCTAACAACGTCTTCACCACTTCTCAAAGAAGATTCCAAACATGGCACGTCACTGTACCCAATCCAAACCTTCCTGGCACATGGAAACCAAGTTTCCGGCTTATCATGGTGTCCCACTGGTTAGTAAATTCAATTCAATTCAAATTTAATTTCTGGAAAAACATAAAGAAAACATGATGGCAACTAGGTTGTCATGGTCATTAGAATCCATGGTTTCTTACTGTGTGAAGGCAAAGATAATAAATAGCAGAAGATAGAGCAGCTTCCCAATACTGTATAGTGGAACATCCGTTCAAAAGGCATTGTGGGTACACGGAGAGCAATTTTACTGCAACCGCGCGGAGGTGCTACATAAAAATAATAAAGGCGCTGCTCTTGTTCGCTTGTTTCCTTTAGTTTCTCCACTTAGTAAAATGTTCAAATTTTACTGCAACCGCAGGAGGGCAAATGTTCCATTGATTTAATGCAAATACGCGGAGCAGCTCATTCTTCTGCTATTTAAGTTCTTTTGTGAAGCCTGTACGTCATTGAATTTTAAGCAAGGAATCCAGTTGGGTGGGGAGGGGTGGGTCATGGACCTAGAACACTCCCCCCCCCCCCAAAAAAAAATAAGAGAAGAAAAGGAAAGAAAGGAAGGGGGAGAGGGAAAAGCTAATGGTATTGAAAACACTGCATGAGCTCTATCAAAGTTGTAGTTTGTGTACTTGTAATTAATTTGTTTTTGATATTGATTGTAATGACATTCCCCCCCCCCCCACCACAGGCTTAGTGCTTTACAATGCGCATGGCCCCACCCAGGTTTTTCTCTGGACCTACCCATGCACTTGACGCAGACTAACACTAGATTTAAAGACAGTTTTTTCTGTATTTCTGTTTGTTTGAAAAAAATGTTATTTTATATTTTGGCTACTAATTACTCAGGTTAAATAAGGCTTGCCATGCCAAAAACAGCATCAGTGAAAAAACATGAAAACTGACTTAATATTAAATTATTATTCATTTAATGGAATTGATTTACTATTGCCAAAGTTAAGTGTCAAAGTATTACGGCTTTTCTATACTAAAGTATGCAATACTGTTATATTCTTATGATAATTATTCAGTTTAAACATAGAGAAAATAGAAGTTCTATTTTCTCTATGGTTTAACAATCAGCGACAGTACGCTGGTTTTGGAATGGCAAGCCATGGGAGTGTTTAGCACGGTGGTTGCAGTTCAGGCTTCTCAAACTTGAGGTCGGAGTTTAAACCTCTAGTGTGCATTTCACTTGTGTCCTTTGGCAAGATCCATCTACCCCCACAGTGGAGTGTAAATAGTCTCCCTCTAATTAAAGACCATTTTATGGACCAAGGTTTCCATGGTTTTCATGGCAGCTTTGGTCTCTAATTAGAAAAATAATCATTATAAGGTAAAAGTTTGGTGTTCATCAGGGCCAGAGAAAGTGGTCTTTTATTGGAGATGGTCTTCATAGGAGGGAGAACTGTACTGTATTTGGTTGAATGCTGTAAACTTGAATGTGTGGTATTAGTCTTTGCACAATACACCATGATTAGGTATACTGAACATTCCAGGAAACCGAGAAGGTTTCTGTTTCTACTACCTTTCAGTAGTTATAAACAGAATCAGTTGTAGTAGGTTTACAGTGAAGGGGGAGACAAAAAGTTTTTTAATGCATGCGCTGGCCATCCACTGCATTGAAACCTTCTCATTTTGTCCTTCTAGATCCTAACTTTTTCGCTTCAGTCGGTTACGATCACAAAATATTATTCTGGAATCTGAAGAATGTTGCACAGCCTTTGTTTGTGCGTGAGAAGCATCAGCCATTAGCCTGTCGTTGGACGATCCACACTAAGGGAATTGTCGTCAGTCATGACACTATGACAGGAGGGTAAGTTAACAATCCTCACAGTACTTTTCACACCAACAACCGTGAGTTAGTTTACGCAATTACCAGTTCTCATTGTGTAACCTGTTAACTTGTTTAAGCCTAAACTTCTTTCACTTTTGTCAATGTCATCCCTAAGCATCATAAAAATAAATCTGAATTTTTTTTGCAACCCCCCTCCCCCACCACCCCAGACAGAAACCAGCATATGTCTCTTAATAGGTTATGTACAAGAACACAATAGTATGTTTAATGCTTTATTCATTACAGGTCATCAGTGTACTACCAGGATTATGGTGCATTCAGCTGTAAACCTCAGACAATAGTTAAGAAGGAAACATGTATGCCAGTAAGTTGTCTATTATATAAGTGACATAGATGCAGTGGCATATCTTGGGGTGGCAAAAGGGGCACTGTCCTGGCACCAAACCAATTCCCATCCCTCCCCCTCCCTCCCAATAGGTTCTTGATTGCCACTCATGCAAGCCTGGCAAAATAATTCTGGATTCCAAGTGTTCTCCCTCTTTGCATGGATCATCACACTATATGTGTGGATAAAATGTGGCCTGAAGCATGTTTACCATCTTTGGCTAGAAACCCTTTGTTTTTACAGCCTGACACAGACCATCTGTAAAACGTAATTGTACAGTATTAAACCTATTAACAATAATGCAGTGTAAAAGCAGTTCATAGTTTTTCTGGATGTCAAAGTTTGAGTGCGGTCCTCAGTGTTAAATCTAAAATTCACTTTGGCCCTTCGATCCATTTTTATGCCCACCCCTTGATAAATATATAGATAACAATAAGGGCTTGGTTATGGAGGACTGAGGATTGTTAATGATCAGTTGTCTACTCCACAAGCCTCATTAAAAGACTTGGTTATAGTGTTGGATAAAGAAGAAATGTGTTTTTCTAATTAAAATCTATTTTTTTGCATTTTGCAGGCTCTCGACAATACCAACTGGTTAGATAGTATCGTTGCTGGAGACGTCCTCGGTGACGTACGTTGCCAAGCAGTAAACATGGGAAAGAGGCTTAACAGCAACGTACAGTATACATTTGTGAGTTGCCCAGTTTATTGTACTAATGGCTTCATTGGAGCTGAATAACCATGTGATGTGCCCTGTTAGTGGTAATAGCAGTAATGTACAGTCCTTGCTGAAACCCCTGTTTTGTTTTATAGGTGTAGGGGAACCCTGGTGGTCCGACTTAAAAAAAAGGGCGATGAACTTTTGTTGGAAATCACCTCTAGTTTATGTGTACAAAATTTCCTGCACGTCTGTTCAAAACTGGTGACGCTGGACGCTTTTAAAGTTTTGGTAACAAGAACGAAAACAAGAACAGCAGTGAGACTTAGGAGTCAGCACCTTGTGTGGACCCAAAAATATCAAGCGTGTACACGGGGTTCCAAAGTTGGAAGAAATTCTTTTTTCCGGAAGATCTGGTTAAATGAGCTTTCTTAATATACTGTATATAATTTTATTTTGCTGCACATGATGATACCCATTGGTACTGATTTCTGTGAGACAATTGATACAAGAGTAGTAAAAACATGCAAATATCGTGATTTTGTGGGAGATGGGTTTTTTTCCGGGAGATTCGTAAGCTGGTAGCCAGTTTCAATCTGTTGAGACCAGCAGCGGTCCGACTTAAATTGTGTATTTCCATTTTATCCTTGTTTTTCAACATCAACTGTAATACTGTAGGCCTTTATTGTGGAAGGGTAGTGCATGAAAAAACTTGCACCCCAGGTTCTCCTACCCTACCACTAGAAATTTTCTGAGGATATAGAAAAATTTACCATGTTTCAACAATGCCAGCACCAGAAATTCCCTGACGAACGAAAAGGGGGCCGCATTACCTCAGCCCCACCATAGTTGTGGCTGAGAAATGGCACTTAGAGATCTGCAAAAATACGTTTCAAAGCAGTATTTTTATCCTGCTCCCTGGGTCCTTTGATGGCACGGCTAACGGTTATATATCGCATCATGTCAGTGCCTCCCATATTCCGCATCATTCTCCTCCCCATATTAATAACCTATGCAATAGATACAGTGAGCTACAGTACTCGGAAAAAGCCAGATTCTTGTTAACGTGCCAGAGTATTTTTATGTATAAGTAGGCCTACTGAAAATCAGTCAGAAAATGAATTAGTTGTAAGAATATTGCACGGGCCAGATAAAAATCTGTTGGCAGGCCGGAGGTTGAATACTGGGTCAATATAACAATCTTATTGTCGGCAATCTCACCTTTGCACCCCACAAATCATGATCCAAAATTGATCATGATGACAAACTTGTAATGTTGACAGATGTTGAGGTCAATGGAACATATATCAATTTGGACCCTTTCCTACAGTACCAAGGCCCTCGTTTCCTGGGCAACTTTAATAACTTTTTATTAAAACATTTACAGATGTTCTAATTCTAATTACTAGCTAATTGTTTATATAATTTCTTCCAGCCCCTTTATCAAACATCAATTGTCCATCTGGGCCAAACAAACACGAACAACTGTGATGTTAACACTTCGGATAAGAACAGTGCTGAAGTCATTGTGTCACAGAAGGATGCTAAAGGTGATGTTGACACTCTGTTGGAGGAAAAATCTTCACCAGACGTAGCAACTGCTTACGATAATGTTGCTCTTGTTTTTTATGATGCACCTAAGGTATTAATACTTAAGTTTTTCTATATACTATATGATTTTTTTTACCTCCTGATTTATATAATGTGTTTTTGTTTATAGCAGGATTATGCAAAAAAAAAAAAAAACACTAAATAATGGGTCATAATTAAAGTTGGTGGATCAGTACATATTGGTCTAAGTACAGAAGAGTTGAACAAATATTGATGTTACTCCATTATTTCATGAAATGCAGGGGCGGGGAGAGGTTCCCCCCCCCCCTCGGAGAGAAAAAGCACAATTTGTTGGGGAGAAAAAAAAATTATATGTATTTTCTACATATTAGTAGACTCTGAAATCGATTAAATAAGCCTTTGAAACCCCTAAATTGTCATAATTTTCTAGGGCTTCGCCCCCTGGAACACAGTCTTGTACTCAAAACTCGACCACGCCCACTTTGCTTTCGTCGGGGAAATCTGACCCCTCATCGGAAGCATTAGCCCCATCATCCGGGATCTCGGGCCCCCTGTCAGGCAAATCTTGGCACCACCCCGTTCAATAGATGATTGTATGAATTTATGTATATTGATTAGACCTGTACAAAGTGTATAGAATTCCAAGACGTACGACTGCCCTGATTTTGTATGCACACAATGCAACTTAAAAAAAAAAGTACTACCAGGAGGTAGAGGGCGCCCTGTTAAAATTTAACTATCGTTCGAAACTCGCCTTTTAAAAGACACCCTCTAGTTCATGGAGTACTTTTTTAAATAGGATTACATTCCAATGAAACCTAGAGAGTCGGACCTCTTGCAGTTCTATACTATTTGACCTGTACATAGTATAAATATTTGTGCCTTATAAATTTATGGATCCTTTTCTTCAACCACACAGAATACAGGAAAGAATAGACTTGCTGGCCTTGTTAAGAAGTTGCACGATCAGGATAAATTTACAAAATTTGAATTAAACAAACCGTTTCTAGCATCCGTTCTAAGAGTGAGTACTGTATTTCAATTTTACCTTATTATGTTGATTGCCTGGAAGTGCTTTCTGCATATGTCTCTATTTTCTACTTTTGTTACATATTCATCTTGTCCATAGCCTGTCACTGTTTTTTATTCTATCCAATTTCTCTTGTGTGTTATTAAGTTTTATCTATGAGTTAAGATCCTTTATATTTTATATTTGTATCATGTTTTTTTTGGTTTTTTTTTCATTACGGGTTGTAATTAATGTAACAAACTATTATTAGGATTACCATTACGATATATATATGATATAGTACAAATAATATATTACAAATAGGAATAATGGTGTTAAAAATTATGATTATTATAGTGATAACAATATAGCAACATATAGTAATGGATTTTGTATTTAAGAACAGTGTTTAACCTGATATAATTATTAAAATAACCCCTCCTTGGCAAAAATTCTCTCTATTGAAAATTGTCAGGACCTCTGACCCTTTCCCCGCCCCCAGCAACTTCCTCTGCTAAAGTAATAGTTCCAAAGCATGAACATTCTTTTTTTATAATTGAAAAGAATTATTCCACAACCATCCAAAATTCTATGCAATTTCTAACATTTTGTTTTTTTCTTCAACAGTCAAGCTGGAGTCCCAATTTAAGCTCTGTAGGGTGGGTGCTGACCGGTGGTCAGTCTGGTCTTGTGAGGGCGCACAATGTTAGAGAAGTCTTCAATGATTATGTTGAGCAGCAGATAAAGCAGATTCTAAAGCAAGAAGAATTATTATAGACAACTGTAACAATGATGACATTGATGAGCACCTAGCAACAGAAAGTCACTTGTGTACTAATACCCAATAAAGCACTTTTCATAGTTTGATCTGCATATTGAATGTCAATCAACATAAACAAACATTTAACGCTCATGTAAAGACTCCTAGTTGGGCACAGCTTTTAGATTGTCTGAATTTTTAGCAAGCTACATTACACGCAGTTCTTTATCTTACGATAAATATTACCCGTATGATGCAAGTATACTGATACACTATTTTCAGGCGATTCTGAAGGCCGTGCCAACTCCTAAAGCTGGGCACTTACTGCGCACGGCGGTTGTCGGCCGACGCGATTCTATATAGAACGCAACAACACACGCACAACAGATCGTTTTTAATGATGATCGGTTCAGACTGCCACCGACAATCAGCAGACAGCATCGCGTTGTCTATCACTCACTCACAGAGAGCAGAGTTGGATTTGTGGCGGTCGTATGACGCAGTGAGTAGCCAGGTTAAGCCTTCAAGACAGGCATGCACAGTTCAAACTACGAAATGGCTCATTTACACATAGACAGAATGTTGTTCCAAAGATTCAATAACTCTACTCTCCAGGATATTACTGTACTACAATACCGAGACCATGTAGAGTGCGTGCAAGATTTAGGATGCTCTTGGTCTGGAGTCGGGCGTAGGCTAGACCTACAACTATAGTTCGCATCAGTGACCGACATTAAGTGTCATTTTATTTTTAGACTTTGACATACAGTACAAGTGAATCAAATGTTTCATGGAATGTTTGTATAACTTGAGAATAAATAACCATAAAACAAGGTTTATATTTGTTTTGCAGTTGTTTTCATTGTAATTTGATTTATTTGAAAAAGAACATACAAACCAAAAACCAAAGGCTGCTACATTGTTTATCTGAATGTTTTTGAGAAGTGGTAAAATTAATAGTGTGTGTTTGAAGGGAGAGAAAAAAAAACACCTAAACCTACCCAGCAGAGCACATTTGCATCTGGTATAACAGTTCCATCAAGCTATTGGTTTAATAATAATAATACAGGAACATAAAGACATAAGCGAAACATTAGCTGATTACTAGCCTGAAGTTTGTGTTGTGCCAATGTCTGTTGTACTGTATTGATATTTGGATTTAAAATGTATAGACAAATACAGTAATATTACAAGTATGTGTGCAAAGATGGTTGTTCAAACACTAACTACAAAATCAAATCAAGTCAACGTCATTGTAGTGAAATTTACCTGTACAGGTAATTTTATTTTATTTATTACAATTATAGACATTGGGGGCAGAAATGCAACAAATTTACAAATGATGAATGTCCGCTGGATGATGTTACAGCTAATTCCAAAATTCATAGCACAAAAATTAAATTATTACTCGGAGAAATTGCTACAAATTAAGGGTCGCAAAGTCGCCCGCAAATTCGCGGGAGTCTCCCAGAAATCAAGATGGCCTCCCATACTCCACCAAGCATGCACGAAGCTCCCAGAAAATGACCCATATTCTGCAAATTCATAATATTTGCATGTTTTTACTACAGTTCAACTTGCCCAAGTCAAATCCAAAATATCATTGAAAAATTGTTTGTCTTGGATAAAATTTGACTTGCAGATTGTTAATTAATTAATGGAAAACACAACAATTTGGCATGTAAAAAGATTGACTTAGAAATTATTTGAGCAAATTTAACTATTTATTTATCAATTGTCTCTCAGAAGTTGGCGACGATGGGTGTCACCTTGTGCAGCAAAATGAAATTAAATGTGTTAAAAAAGTACATTTTAACCAGACCTCCTGGAAGTGACTACTTCAAACTTGGGACCCCTGACAACAGATGTTACTAACAGAATGTTTAATGGTCAATAGAGTTAATTGAATATTCTGTTTGTTATCATTGTAATTGTCCTAAGTCAACCATGTGATACTGTCTTTACATAAAAGACAATAAACATGAATGAGTTTTCTGCAAAGATTTATTAATAATATTAAGCCCAAAGTTATCTTTTTTTTTTTTTTCATCCTTCGTCTGTTCACTCTGTTTTCCTTTCATTTTCAAATAATATCGTCTATTTGTGAGCTCGTTTTCTGAAATTCCAGCAATCCGAGAAGATGTGCATCAGCTTCTAGTAATGTTAAATCTCTTGTCGCACCGAGGAAATGTTCTGCCAACTCAAAATCTTTTAGCCGCAAACGAACTTTTGCTCCACGGACATATTTTCTGAGAAGAAAGAAATGGCATGAGTTGAATTACTATGGAAAAAATATTTAGAAAACGATAATTAAATAGACCTACTACGACTGAGTTACAGTACTACACAGGTATCGTACATACAAATTCAGTGGCGGATCCAGAGTAGTGCAAGTGGTAATTGAGGAAATGGTCGGGAGGAGGGTTTAGAGTGTTCCTGTATCTATTGTGGCGGTGGTTGAACTTCTATTGCCATTTTAATGTCTTGTCTGAATGATTTCACATTTGGTTATTAAATATTTTATCTACTTCTGGGGAGAGGCACACCGTATGCACCTTAATGCCACCCCTGGATTCGCCACTGAAAGAAGACATAGGGCTAGATCAGGACATTCCACAATACATTACTTTACACAGAATGTTGAATGGCTGTATTTGTAATAGGCCAATACTAGCTATAGGGGGAATACAGTATTTGTAATAATAGATTAGTAAATCACTCACGACCCATTTTCTGCAGGTTTTTTACAGACACAGTGGAATTTTCCTCCAAAATCAATGTACAGATCGTCTTCAACAATATGGAATATTTTTCCAATCACTATTTGACCTTTAAAATTTCCTAGATGAACAAGAGGGGAGTGTTTGAATAATGTTGCGAATGACTGTCGCTCGGTTCCATCCATGGCGAGGCCAGCAGCTCTGTGTTGCTCTTCCAGTCTGTCGGTGAATTTTGCGAAGGCCTGGGCGAAGCCACCTAATTTCGACGGCTGATCGACTTCAGAAGACTGACTGTCTAGTCCAACTGAATCATCGTTAGAATTTACATTATCAGTTTGTTTGCAATTTATGTGTCTAGAGGTGGAAATCAATCTAAAACAGCAACAAACCCGAGTAATATCCACTACTTTCTGACTCAGTACCCGATTTATGGAGGCAGCCATCTTGTTAGTGTAGTATACAACATACGTCTTCAGCAATGGAAATACTCGGTATAACCGTTTTGATCCGCGGAGTATTAGATTTTTATAAGCTCACTCAATCAACAATCACAAAATGGAAATGACACAGGAAAAGAACTTGAAATTACATGATGATGTTGCTTCCTGTGAACGGTTGAAAATGTTGAAGTTTTTTTCTATGATCCATAGGCTTAAGGTATGGAATTCTTCAGATTGTAAATGCTAATCGTTTTCGTTAATTTTTTGTTCACAATTAAATTTAGATCATTCTGCTAGGCCTCAGCCAAGGCGGAGAGAGTGAAAATAAGGAAAGTGCCTGGTTGTTTTTTCAATTATCCTCACTGTCACTGGAGGCTAGGTTTTGTGTAGGGTGAGCCCCCTAATGTATTTGTGGTCAACTATAGTACAGTATTACAGCGTCACCCCCACCCCCGAAAAAAGTACTCGCCCATCCCCCAGTCGCACTCCCGGCCTGCCCACAAATCATGCTAAAGTAATTAAAAATCACCTTATTTTGCGAGTTAGCCCCCCTCACCTAATCACCGATCTCCCACTTTACCTTTAATCCACCCCTATCAGCTCCCTTATAATGCATTTGAAGACCCCTAAACCACCGAGGGACTGCTAGTAGGAAAAGTTCATAAGCCAGCTACTACTACCTGTATACAGAATCAGATTGCGTTCTATAGTCAAAATACAAATGTACTTTAAATACCGGCATGGTTGTAGTATCCTCTCTTCAAAAGAATTCCTATTCCTGTATTTATTTAAATTTTATAATTAAAAATAATAATTCAAAGTTTTTTCTATACCAGTCATATGTATGGAGATTTATTTAAACTTGAATCATTGAGATTAGGCTTTTAGATAGAATACCCGATCGGCAGTAGAGGTCCCGATTTGTGAGAAGAAGAGCATGCGACCATTCTCTTGGAAGCACCGCTTCCATTCCAGTGTTAAATTGGCTATTCTGACGCCACCACACGGCTGCTCTGACTGAACCATTGACTCACTGAATACGTGATTGTCTGATATTGAAAACCAGCCATGCAGAAATTCTACAGAGTTCTAGAGTACAACAATGCGATAGGCAAACTGTGACTTTCCTAGATACCAAAGTAGGCCAAACATTGAAAAACTTTACTATTACAATGAACTGTAGCATCCACTCAAAAAATATATTCAAGGTCTTTATTCAGATAAAAATATTAAAAATTACAAACAGACAGCCAGAAGGCTGTATATGAATGTATTACATAAATACAAGGTTTATATAGAAGATTGTGGCTAAGAAATGCTATATAAAACGGAGAAACTGTACTATATAAATTGTGTTTTATTTGTTTTAGCCAGGGTATGCATTGCATACCTTGCTTGCCTTGACAGTCCGCCACTGCTCTCTCCTGGCCTCATTTCCCCGGCCCAGCCTTATTTGAAAGATAAAAATCTAAATATATGATTCTGAAGAGAATTTGCTGTATGACAAAGAGTCCGGGAAATACTATCATAAGAGCCAGTAAAATCTCTGTGGACAATTGTCAGAGAGATGGGGAGGGGAATATAGTTTGCTTCTGTAATGCCATGTTCTGCTTGTTTTTGTAGAATATTAAACGAGCTGGATGGGTCCGTACAAATGTCAGCAATCCAGAGAGTGTACCGGATCACATGTACCGTATGGCTATTATGAGCATGTTCATACCGTCATCGTCAGGAGTCAACAAAGAACAGTAGGTTGACATAAAAATTCACTTACCATATTTATTCGAATGAACGCCCGGGGGAATTTATTGTTGAGAAGGGTGTTTGAGGGGACGTTTATTCAAGGGAGCCATTTGTTTTTTATGGTGTAAAAAGATAATTTCACTGTAAGTGTGAAACTACAAACTGCTAATTACCGTCAAAATGTGTAATTATTGAATGATTATGAAGATTTGAAAGACCCAACCATGTTAGAAAAAATTGTAATCTACTGAAGTTGAATATTTAATAGAATATATTGCTTCTATTTTTTTTTTTCAGTCATAGGGGAATTTTTTTTAGGAAAAAATAAACGCCCCGGGGCGTGTATTCAAGAGAGGCGTTTAGTCCAAATGTGGTTCTGGAGGGGGTGATTATCCGAGGGAGCCGTTTATTCAAAGCTGAGAGTTTATTCTAATAAATATGTTTATGATAGTGATGTCAGATTAAAGTTTCAACACCAATTTTTCATTTATAAATCAGAAAAACTCAGAAACATGTTGATAAAACGTATTCCATCCAAAATGATTTCAGTATCAGTGTTCTCCCAATTGAAACATTTTTACTGGTAAATTTGTCCATATAGAGCCAGCTAAGCGCACACAACTTCAGATATTGCCAATTTTAAGTGGATTTAAATGGCTTCAAAAAACAATAATACATAATCATAGCTTAGGCCTGGAAAGGAATGATGTTCGTTTATTGAAAGAAGGGCAGCCTAGTCAACCTAGGCCTAATAATGTGCTTTTTTATTCTACCAACACACAATTTTTACTGGTTGGTCAGTTATTTTTACTGGTATAATTGACAGCTAAAACGGCTTCGGGAGAACACTGAGTATACTGTACTTACTCTTTTCATTTAGCGTTATGAAGTTGGCGCTGATTCATGACATGGCAGAATGCATAGTGGGTGATATTACACCATATGACAAAGTACCAAAAGAGGAAAAGCATCAGAGAGAAAGGGTAAAATTTATCAATTTGTTGAAATTATGTTCTTAAGTTAAAACTTCCAATAAATGCAACACCGTATTTGAAAAATTATTTGTTATTGACTACTGTATAATACCTGCACCTTATAGATATATATTATCTTCACAGACAGTGTTTGTGAAATAATGCTTGATAATAATCATTAATCAATAATGAAAATAAAGTTTTTTATACCCAATATTCAACCATTCCTATACACTCAAAATTATTATTATTATTAATACAGTACATTATTATTATAATTAAAACGTATTATTAATATTGTAATTATCATCCTAATACTATGTGTGTACTACTATCACTACCATGTAAAAATGAGCACCATTGCCAGCGGTGGTGGCGTTGCTGCTAATGCCATTGTGGGCGATGGCATCATTGTTCTCATGGTGTATTGTCATTGTTGATATTCCTTCTACTAGAGTGTTACTAATTATTATATATTGTTATTTTTATTAGGAGGCCATGCAAAAGCTCAGTGATTTAGCAGGACCAGAAGTAGGACCAGAATTATATAGCTTATGGGAGGTGAGTTGGAAATGAGTAAGCTTAGAATAAATTATTAATAGAAAAATAACGCTTAAAAAGGAACAAAGTTTTGACTCCATCTTGAATATTAATGATAACTATGATCACAGAGGATATTAATTTCCCAATCTCCCAACTCAGAAGGCAAAACATAAAACCAAGGCAATTCAGTTTAATGATATTTTGCACTAACATTAGACTGATAACATAAATTTTACCAAATGTTGTGGTGTATTGTCTTTCAAGAGACTCACTTTGCAGAAAAGATAAATATATTTTCTGTATCTACCCATATGGTCGTTTTGTGCACCTTAGTCCAACATAGTCAAAATGACAGTTTAATGTTATATAAGAACATGAAATTTTATAAAAATCGTAAATTTTCAATTGCTATTACTTTTCATTTTGTTGGTCAATTTTCATGAATCTAATTGTAGTTTAGAGAAACATTTAACAAGCTCGTGGTCATAAGAAATCAGATGTAACAGACTTTGGAAAGTACCCAAAATTCATTTAGTAGTAACTAACACCATAAATCATATTGCACGCACACACTAATAATTGACGGCTGTACTCGCAACTAGTATCGGATTGTCGATGCCACAGTAAGGATGAAAGGACTGTATGCACACCTTTTTGTTGAATTGCCTTGATGAAACATACAGTAAAAGTTAAGCCTTGGTTGATATATTTATAATAGCTTCTTGATTTAACTAAAACATATCAATTTATTATAATTCAATATATTAATATTTACTATGGCTTTAATAAAGGTATTAGCTTGTAACTGAATATTAAGAGGATCTATATTTCTCATCAGTAATAAACTTCCTAAGTTCTTATGAGAGATTCTTAAAGTTGTTGATAATCATCCTAAGAACTTTCGTGATAAAAGTCCCTAAAACATTTGCTTATTGGGAGTTGATACTTGTTTATATTTAAATGAGCAAGTTAATGTTTTAAACATATTTTTTAAAAGGGACCTAGAAAGATGATTTTTTTTTTTCTAGAGGGTAATTTTTTCCATCCAAGTAGTAGCTATGTCATGAGTTTGCCCATTTTCGCTATACATTACAGTTTGGTGCATTTGGGCAATACTATAGAATATGATCCTTCGTAACTAAACCTCTTTTATTAGAAGAATGTGTACTATATTACTGTATGTATAATTGTTTGTCATTTTAGGAATATGAGCAACAGTCTAGCCCAGAGTCTAAGTGGGTTAAAGATTTGGACCGATATGAAATGATCCACCAGGCATTTGATTATGAGAAACAGGAAAACAAGCCAGCATCATTACAGGAATTTTTTGATTGTACAAAAGGTTGGTATTTATTGTCATCATTTGTGGCAAAGACAAGCCAAACAAGTCACTCATTTCAGAGATAATGGTGAAAATGTGCTGGAATGTCAAAATATTTGAAATCTATTTTATTGCACTAAACTAACATTTATATATCTATATATCATGCTATCCTGTTATTTTCCTCATTTCCCATGTTAAAACAACAATTTTTAATGATCTGTTAATATTTCCTTTTAACAGCTGTATGTTTAAACTCCTGTAACTTTACAACGAAAATGTGGGATTTAAATTATTCTTTTATCATTTTGTAGCTCTCATTTACTGTAAACTCTGTATTAATCACAAAAAAAATCGATTTTTGCTACCAGTGATTGGCTTGGCTTGTCTTTGCCACATTTTCTTTCAATTGATATGGTTGTATTCAGATATGTAAATGCATAGACCTTTTTGCTAAGCCTCACCACTTGGATATTAGAGAGGTTTTGCACGTGAACGAATACGTGTACGCATACGTTTAGCTATCCGTAACGGTTTGTAGCCATTTTGTGTTTTTTGCAATCACAGCACAATTCAAGCGTAGCCTAGGCCAAGGGCCTTAGCTTAGGCCTACTAGTACTATATTCTGTTCTCTTCTCTCATCATGCTTCTCAAATTTTATTAGTATCTCAAACTTTTATTAGTGTATATATAAGGTTTTGTTGGAAATTGAAATTGAAAATTGTAGCCAGAAAATACTTCCTTTTTTGCCCAGAAGTGTTGGTTATTACTATTTATGACCCAAAAGTGCCTGGCTGCATAAAAAACCTGACATCACCAAGGTCAAAGCACCGACGTTTTGATACCCCAAAATGAGACGCATCCTATTGTAATTTGCTGTCTTAAAATGTCACAAAAATGGCATGTACGTATTCAAAGATACATTTATTTTTTACACTTATGTAAAAGGTGAAAAAATAAACGAACATCCTACTAGAAATCCCCAAATTTCCCTACACGTTTTTCACTTACGTACTGTAGTGAGCGAGGTATGCGAGTCGTCCACACGATAGTAGCCAGCGTACGACGTCAAAATGTTGACGTATCCGTCACACTAGCCATAGCGTTCATGTGCGAAACCTCCCTATTGTTGATATTGTCCACAAAACGAAAGTGTCTGTGAGACAACATGTATGTTTAGGACAAGCACATATTCCTGACCCTGTTGTGATTCAATACAGTAGTTAAGTTTGATTGGCAGTTAAGTTTGATTGGCACTTTAAAATGTCAATTTTTTAACTATGTAATATTATATTATATTATATAATATATTATATTAATTAAAGTTTTTAGTATGTTTCATAATAATATCAATGAATGTCTTTTCTTAGGAACTTTTCAACATGATGAAATCAAAAAATGGGTTCAAGAATTGGAAACACAGCGGGAAGCACATATCAAACAAAGTTGATGACACAAGACTAGACGCTGTAGTATTCACTGACCAATGATCTGCAAGTACTGCATAACTAAAGTGGTGTTCACATTAGATTAATTTTGGTCAAACTCACCAGGTAGCTGGTCACGTTGACCAAGAAAATCCAATGCGAACAACCTGAGTTTCATTCTCTTTGGTCAAACTACCCAAAACACGCGGCAGGTTTAACCAGGTGAATGCTGCCCAGGAAGAATTACCAGGCGGTTTTTCCAGAGCAGAAAAGACGAATGCAAACAGCTTGACTTAGTTAAAGTTTTCCTGAGCACATGCAAACTTTTGCGCACACTTTTCACAGCATGTATCCATGAATAGACAGGTCATGCATGCGCACAATCTCACTGCATTTTCTGTATTTTAAAAGTTTAATTATTTTAATTTTTTAATTTACTTGAAGTTAATACTGTTTTTTAATTTACTGTATACAATTTATTTCTTCTTTTTTTGTATTTTAAATCCTTCGTTATTGTTTTACATTATTTATTTCTATTATTTATTTTAAATAATTTATGTTATATATGTATATACTCTCCTTATTCTGTTAAAGGAGAATCCTAAACAGGGATTTAGTTTACTTTTGAAAATCCTTGGCGTTTTGTTAATGCTTTCTCATTAATTTTTATTGATTTCTTTTTATTTTGTTTTTCCGAAGTTGAATAAATTAAATCAAATCAAATCAATTAGATTAGTTTTAGGATAGTTCATGTGTTAGTTTTCTTCTTTTCTTTTTCATATACTTTGAGACTATTTTTGATTGTGTAAGGCGCTATATAAGGCGATTTTCATTTCCAATGTGCAAACAGCAGGTTGACAAAGGTAAATTTACCTTTTGTCTTGATCAAAAATTAATCCAATGCAAGCATGATTTAAAACTCTGTCCACTTTATCAAGTTATATCACAGAATTTGATAGAACATGACACTCCATGATTTATTCATGTAATTGTTACAATGTTCAAATATTTAATAGTCATCTGTTACTATAGCATGAAGCGAGATCATTTTGTCAGTGACACTGAATGACAATAAGTTGTGGTATAGTTTTTGCTCTCTTCTGAAGCATGGATAAAATTAGATGAAAACAAAAAGGTGTACAATTGAGTTTGTGCATTTTAACTCTCTCTCTCTCTTTCTCAGGTGAGATCTGCCTTTGTGCAGATCAATATAACAGCCAGGGGCGGATCCAGAGATGTCCAAAAAGGGAGTCCCAATCGAGATAACACTAGCCTAGGGGGCCCTGTGGAATTCCCTGCGACATTTTTTTCTTTCTTTTATTTTTGAATTTGCAAAATGGATGGGGGAAGCCAGCCAGGCCACCCTTCCCTTAAATTCGCCCCAGTAACAGCTGCTTAATGTTGAGCTCTGTCCTGATCAGCGGCTCTAGGATATATTTTTTGTGGGGGCTAAGTTGTCCGACAAGAGGGACTTGAGCTCGTAGGCTTGAGCTAGGGGACGGAGCTGAGAGGGGGTTCACCTCCTAAAATAAATATATATCACAGTTCTCTTTGGTTGAGTTGGTAAGACCAACCTCATCTGGATGGCCAGAAATGGCACTCTCAGACTGTGACAGACATGTGTTGGCTTGGTGTGGGCCTATTTTATATGTTTTTTTGTGTGACTGCCGGACGAGCTCTGTCCAGCGGGGGGACTTAAGCCCCCGTCCCCCGCGCCGCCACTGGTCCTGATTATCAAATTTTCTTCGACAAAAAACTGTTGAATGCCCATTGGCATATAATAGTCTTTATGTGCCTATATATGGTCATGATGTGATGTCATCATGATCATATTTATGCATTTCACATGTTTGTGTCAAATAAAATTTGATAGTTTAGACAAGGCTTTAATAGAATAACCACAGTACTGTACTGTATGACCAAATTTGTATTGACGTTTAAAAATGTTTAGAAGTAAAAATATATATTTATATGTTTTAGTAAATAGGAGGGAAGTGATATTAAACTTATTACACATACTGTAGTAGATAAGTAGCTATGTAGTATGTGTGCACATACATATTGTGTTACGATTACTGTTGTTCATTGGGGCACTGGAATTAGGAATTCGTTTTGAACTGCACACACGGAAAGAATTAAGTCATGAATATTAATGGATTTTTGTCGAGCAGTTAAAAATAAGATTTTACCAGAAATATTAATACAGTATAGTATTTTATTTCTGTATTTGTTCATTATATTTGCGACTTTTTCAATGAATGCAGTGATGAATAAAGATATATTAAACGGAAATGAACTCGGGAACTTCCATTCAGCTTGTACTGTACTACATTGAACTGGTATCAATATAAACGTTTGTAATTAAAAACATATTTTTATAACAGAATCCAATGATAAACTGCTAGTGTTATTAGAATTGGATTGGATTGGATTTATTCGGTGTAAACACCAAGGATAGCCCACGAAAGTCTACAAGAAGACTTATTTCCAGTGGAGTCCTCCTGGGGGTGATTGGGCAGTACACCGGGAGACAATCCCCTGCTCTTTTCCGAAGAGTGTGCTGCGTTCTTTAACGTACACATGGGCCATAAATGCACGCAGTACAACGGCTTAAACGTCTCATTTGAAAGACCGCGCGCTATTTTAACTTGCATTTCAGCCCTCCAGCTGAAACACAAGGAGAGGCAGCGATGGGAATCGAACCGGGGACCTTCAGATCTCCATGGTTAGGCGCACACACAGTGGCTACCGACCGAGCTAAGCTGAAACTTAGAAAAATACATTATTACAGTAATTAAATAGTTGGATATGCAAAGTGTGGTTGTTTTTACGCTGTGGCTGAGATACGAGCCACAGCGTTGTTAGTGGTTTGTTGTTATGTCTTTTTCAATATTTACGCCCTGTATGTATGTATATATATATATATATACTGTCT